AGCATGCGATGATGCGAACAACTGAACTAACTAGAAATAAATGCTTTTAATCCGAATAACGCACGCTTATACGACGTACAAACTAGAATTAAACGCTTTTTTTCAAGATAGCATGCGATGATGCGAACTACTGAACTAACTAGAAATGAATGCTTTTAATCAGAATAACGCACGCCTATACGACGTACAAACGAGAAATAAACGTTTTTTTTCAAGATAGCATGCAATGATGCGAACTACTGAACTAACTAGAAATAAATGCTTTTAATCCGAATAACGCACGCCTATACGACGTATAAACTAGAATTTAAAGCTTTTTTTCAAGATAGCTTGCGATGATGCGAACTACTGAACTAACTAGAAATAAATGTTTTTTTCTGAATAAAGCACGCCTATACGACGTACAAACTAGAATTAATCGCTTTTTCTCAAGATAGCATGCGATGATGCGAACTACTGAATTAACTAGAAATAAATGCTTTCTTTCCGAATAAAGCACGCTGATACGACGTACAAACTAGAATTAAACCCTTTTTTTCAAGATAACATGCGATGATGCGAACTACTGAACTAATTAGAAATAAATGTTTTTTTCTGAATAAGGCACGCCTATACGACGTACAAACTAGAATTAAACGCTTTTTCTCAAGATAGCATGCGATGATGCGAACTACTGAACTAACTAGAAATAAATGCTTTTAATCCAAATAACGCATGTCTATACGACGTACAAACAAGAATTAAACGTATTTTTTTCAAAATAGCATGCGATGATGCGAACTACTGAACTAACTAGAAATAAATGCTTTATTTCCGAATAAAGCACGCCTATACGACGTGCAAAGCAGAATTAAACGCTTTTTTTCAAGACAGCATGCGATGATGCGAACTACTGAACTAACTAGAAATGAATGCTTTTAATCTGAATAACGCACGCCTATACGACGAACTACCGTGAATTAAACGCCTTTTTTCAAGATAGCATGCGATGATGCGAACTACTGTATTATTGTTACATCTCGAAATTTAATTTCGGCTAACTAAATTTTTATTTCATTTGATCAGAGGTTTTTCTCTCAATTTATTTTCTAGGACAACCTGCTAAGCCGGCTATACCCCGAGACACCGAGAGATAGAGTATTTCGCTTCTTTATGTGAGAGAATCTTTGAACGACAGGAGGTAAATGCTAGGTGAATTGAATCTGACTCAATTTGTAAGATGTTATTTTTACTTTATTATAACTTCTCTTGATTTAATAGCATAATATTTACAATGTATGTATATATAAATATATATATATATATATATATATATATATATAGAAGAATAGTTTATTACATGCATTTCTCTATACCTCTATAAAGAAATAAAAACTTATATATATATATATATATATATATATATATATATATAAGTTTTTATTTCTTTATAGAGGTATAGAGAAATGCATGTAATAAACTATTCTTTGTTCTCCTCTATGGATATCAATGGCGTCAATTAGAGCATTGATATAGTCATCTGCTATTATATCTGCCTCTTCAGGGTCTGAGAACAGAGGCTCGATTTCTCTTTCTAAATTTGCCCTTTCAAATTCTTCGACGTCTTCTAATGTCAGTGGAGAATAACTGGGAGGAACGTATCCTGGCCACAATGGAGTCGGTGCTCTTGAAATTTCTGGTGAAACCTCTGGAAAAGCGGGGGAAGTGGAAATATAACGCTCAGGAAGCGGAACTCCTAATGCTCGAAATGTAGGTTCAATGGCGTTGTTCAAAATTTCCGCTTGACTCTCCCATAAATTAAAGATGGCTTCTAGTAATTCTCCATTCTGACCGGGAGGGTTAATGATAGTCTCATTTTCTCCAATAAAATTTATAGATATGGTGGAGCACTCACTCAAGTTATCAGATTCTATTTCTTCAATGTTGTTGTCGTCAGCTATTCCTTCATTATTGTTTTCTGGAGGATCGTGCTCGTGATTTTCGGGGACATCTGAGGGGTCTAGAGAAAGGGAGGCAAAGGCTAATTCGAGGGACGATTCTTCGTATTCGTTGTGCGCTGTTTCTATGTCTGCGGGGATGTCATCCACGTCTGCGAATAATTGACGGGGAATAGCTGTTCCGCTCCTAATAAGCCGCTGGCGGATTTGTTCGCGACGGCGTACTCGTCCTTTACGAACTGACAAGGCTCGATTTGTAATCTGATCAACTCTACGCGGGTTGACCATCTATTGAGGGAGTCATTTTAGTATTGATTTATGTGTTGTGAACAATGAGATGTTAATAATGGATATGTTACTTACGGTAACTTAATAAATTTTGTATAACGAAGTATAAGAATGTATGCTTTCAGAATGAGTGTCCTGTTAAGAAAATGAAATAATAAATCTAATATTCCAATGACTAAAAATAAGAAAACATAGACGAGTTGAAGAATAGAATCTGTAAGATATTCAGAAGACAAAGTATTGTAGATAATCGGGGTTTAGAATGATAAAGTATTTTAAAAATTTAAAAATGATATAATATTCAGGAGAAAATACGAATCAAATATTAAACCAATAGTGAAATAAAATTTCACTACATTAAACTGTTCGGAATATAAGCCTATGTTCCGTGTTAAAATTTGTTAAAATATGTATATGAATATAATGAATGATAATTATGAATTGTTAATTTCGTTTAAAAATTTTCAGATCCAATCAGAAGTATCTAGACAGGAGAGGATTTATGGATACAGACTATGTCACTTAATGACATAAGAATAAAAGAGGCTGGCTTATATCAGGTAAGTATGAAATTTATTGAATATTTTAATAATTAAGTTATAAGCCAGTGCATAAAATCTATTATTTCGCAGATCCTCTAAGAGCCAGTCTCTCATTCGAGGTCGAGTATCGATATATAAGACGTCCCGTCACAACGGCTCAGAATCCATAAAGAAATTCTTCAAGAGAATCTCTATATGAAAACGGCAGAGGAGTAGTAAGCTACCCATGTACATCAAGTGACTGACCTGAACGACGCTACGCTCTAAGTGCTAAGCACTGAGGACCGGTGGAAGTTGATTTTAATTCGAGAGAAAAACTAAATGTCTGTATAAAGAAGGTAAATGTGAAGAATAATTAAAATTTAAATTATCATGTAGAGTTGAAGTCAGAATTAGTAAAGAGTTAATTAAAATAAATTTATTTATATTATTTACCTGTTGGTGGAATTTGAAATTGAAGAAAGGCACCGCTGCTTCTTCTCTGGATTACTCGACCTCAGTGAAAATCTGAAGAAGTGGCAAGGCAGTGCAGGAGATGGTAGAAGATTCAAACGTCGTGAGTAAAACACTTTATTTCAATATTAATATACAATCTGTATATCGAGACTAATCACGACTAAGATTTATATGCTCGGTTGATATGCTTGTTGTTAATAAACTGGCGAATAAGTGTGAGAAAAAGTGCCACTTGGTTAAAGACTGGCGGAAATGTGCGAAAAAAGTGCGCTGGGAACTGCGGTTCACCCCTTTTTATATCGTCGGTTCCCACTTCTGTTTCAGGCGTAGGCGATGGTAGGAGAAGCGGCGTCGACGGCTCGAAAATTAGTTCTGTCTCTCTTTCTCAAGCGCGTTGTGACGTAGTGGGGACAGCAAAGGTTTTCATACATATAATTATAATGGTAAGTCCTTTTACAATAATTTATTAGCATCCAGAATTTTTGCAATATGCATATTTATATGTTTCGATTCAATGAATTTTCCTCTATCATTTAAGACATGAATGATCTTTGTAGAATGTTTCGTTTAAAAATAATCATCAACTATTGTGTGATAATATAAAAATTAATTATTAGTCGCATAAATTATTCTTACTCGCATAAAAAACGTGACAATGGTTTTAACAACATCGAAGACAATATACAGTCGATTACTGGGGTTTCACATCCGAAAAATCAGTCAGAACAACAATTGTCAGATAAAGTATCGACTAACAATGGAGATTATGACGGGGAGGTAAGAGTCTGTCCTTCTTCTTTTGCAGACCCTCCATCATCACCTCTAACTCTTCGAAAAAAATGGTTTGTCAATCTTTCAACCAAAGATATCTCGATCGAAGTTCAAGGACTATTGCAATTAAGTGATGGGTTTTGTTTACCGCCCTTTTCATATAATGATAGGTTGACATCCGAAATTATCAAACATATTGAGAACAATTTTTGCAAGATTCAAAAAAGAGAACCGGAAGTAGTAATGGACATCAGAAACCGTTCCATACCTATCATAAAAAATTTAGGTAATAGTAGTTTTTCGCCTACTGAGATAGATAAAAACATTAAGAGCGCAGTCTTAGTAACTAAAGATTTTATAAAAAAGAACCCGGACATCTTATTTACTCGTGCTGATAAGGGTAACATTACAGTTTCCATGGACAGACTCACGTACATCAACAATATGGAGAATTTACTTAATGACACCAATATATATATGACAGTACCACGAAATCCTATTAATAGATTAACTTCGGATCTACACACATTACTCATGAAATGGAAGAGACTTGATTACATCACGACAGTGAAATATAGACAGTTGAATTCGTTGCTGTCCTTCTTAGGGCATATGGACTACCGAAAGTACACAAGGAGAATCACCCTAGGATAATCGTGTCTTCCATCAACACTCCTCTTTATTCACTAGCGGTTTTCATACATGATATCATTCATAAAAGTATTCCGCCTCCAATAAACCATGTCATAAATAGCTTCCATTTAATCCAAAAACTACAAAAAATTACAGTTGAAAATAATTTTCGTTTAGTTTCTCTTGACGTGGTCTCTCTTTTCACGAACATTCCACATAATTTAATAATAGAAGGAATAAAAACAGATGGGAGTTCATTTCAGGGAATACAAGCATTCCGTTAGATGAGTTCATTGTGGCTGTGAATTTAATCTTAAACTCCACTTATTTCACTTTCAACAATATAATTTACAAACAGACATTTGGCACACCGATGGGTTCTCCTTTGTCACCTATCATAGCGGACATCGTACTGCAGGATTTAGAATATAAGGCATTGTCTAGTTTGCCGTTCACGATCCCGATGTATATCAGATATGTATAGACGATATAGCATTAATGGTTCCATGCGATAGCCTTGAATCAGTGTTAGATGTTTTCAACTCTTTCCATCCCAGATTACAGTTTACAGAAATAGGTGACAATAACAGATTGAATTTTCTAGACGTAACTATCATCGTGCAGGATGGCCATTTTATTTTCGACTGGTATCATAAACCTACATTTTCTGGACGTTACTTAAATTACTTCTCACACCATCCGACATGTCAAAAAAGGGCACGATATTGGACTTACAGACAGGGTTTTTCTTTTGTCGGATCCTACTTTTCATCAAAAAAATTTTACTCTTATCATAAAAATTCTCATTGACAATGGTTATCCGCTTAATTTTATATTTGACACAATTAATTCCCGTCTAAAATATTTACTCAACCGGAATAATTTATTAGATTCTAAAATAAACAAGACTGCAGACCCTCGACCTTTTTTCTTGCTACCTTATATAAAATCAGTATCCGAAAAATTTAATTCGCTTATGAAGAAAGCCGGTTTTCGACCCGCTTATACTGGCTGGGATAATTTAAAACCATATATCAGAGCTTTAAAGGATCCTCTCTCCAAATTTTCTAAGAATAATGTTGTCTACCGCATTAATTGCAAGGATTGTGATGCCTCGTATGTCGGCCAAACTAAAAGATTGATAAAAACTAGAATTGCAGAGCATCGCAACCAGATAAATAGTTGCACTCAAAAAAATTCTGTTATCACCGAACATAGATTCCAACATAAACATGATTTTGATTGGGAGGGGGTTCAGATTCTTAACAATGAGCCATGCTATTTTAGGAGATCACATCTGAAATGTTATTCATAAAGAGACAGACTGTGGGTCTTCATTTACAAGAAGACACCGAATTATTACATGATTCCTATTTACCGATCATTGAAACTTTCAAAAAATTTTAATCATAAATCAACGTACTTTCTTTGTTTCCAATTCAAAAATTTTTATTATACTTAACGTCATGATTTTGTTTTGATTTTGGACGCTTTGTTTATCTCTAACTTTGACACTAATAGTCTATTTAATGTCTTTCTTCGAGACGGATGTATTATCCTGTAATGTGGCTTTATTGCGTCGTTTTATTCGGTCGATTTCATGTGGTGAGTGTTTGACAAAGAATTTTTAATTTTTGAGTTATAGTTAGACAACTAATAGATTTACGGATCTAATCTGAATTTAGAACAATCACGGCCTCTTCGCTTGTTTCTTTCTGCATGTCTTTGCCAAGACACTGTACGGAGAATATGAGAGGAGGAGAGATGTTCTGAAAACATCCACCACGTGGTCGACTTCTAATACTGCTAAGAATTTGCACAGTTAATTACACAGCCGAATATATGGTCCACTCGGATAGCCTTCATGCGATAAGCGTAATCCTTGTAAACTTTAAGTTTCAATTTTCCTAAAAAAATTTTTTTTTTAATTGTACTGAAGAGAGTCCAATTGAGGACAGAAACGTACGTTTACATCTCATCATATAATGCGCATATTCATTAATAGTTACTTATACATTTCATCACATAATGCGCACAGTCATTAATAGTTACTTAATTTAAATGTATTGCAACGTTATTAAATCTATTCTTATTTATTGACTTTAACATTATTGCATAATATTGTATGAGCTCTTTAAGTCCGATTACTGTTTAATTTAATTATTAGTAACATAGTAAAATTCTGGTGCTTCAAATCACTGTAATTACATAGGTATTGACAAAAATATTGTGTGTAATATAATTTTGTAAAAGATCGGTTGCGTAACATAATTATAAGCTGTTGACAATAATAATTAATTATAAAATAATAATTTTACAATAAAGAATAATAATTAACGTTAGGAGTTCGAAATTATAATCTTATTTTAATTTGTTACAGCGGACAAAGAATAGAATGCGGCGACCGGATGAAGGAGAGACAATAGAACAATAGGGGAGATAGCTAAGTCACTTGGTAAATACTATTCTTATATTTTATAATTTTTGCATTCAATAATTGTATGCAATAATTTTATTTCCAATAATTTTAGTCCTTCGGTAAAGATACATATATATAAATATACAAGGTGTTCAAAAAGTCCCGGTACGGGGGAATAACTCGAAAAGTAAGGGTCGGACAAAGAAACTTTTCGGACAAAAGTTGTAGGGCTTACTCCGAGCTTTTATCTCGTGACCTTGAGTTTGACCTTGAGCTTGACCTTCAAGGTTATTTGAAGGTCAAAGTGTTTTTTAAAAATGGGAACCCCTATTTTTGATTGTACATTCTTATAGCTGACCTCGAGAGCTTTCCAAAACACTATAATAAAATATTTTTCCCTCAAGCATTTATCGAGTTATGAGGCTTCAAATCATTTCTTAATTTTACATAAACCGTAAAATATCTTGTAAAATATTCACTTTTTACGATTATTTCACCTTAATACTTTCATGATTATTTTACCTTAATACTTTTATGTACAAAATAATGAGAGGAATCAATTGGTCTAAAAAAAAACACATAATTGTTCCGAAGAAAAAATATGTAATTTGCAATTAACAATTACATATTTTTTCTTAAAAACAACTGTATGTTTTCTTTACACCAATTGATTCCTCTCATTATTTTGTACATAAAAGTATTAAGGTAAAATAATCGAAAAGTGAATATTTTATAAGATATTTTACGGTTTATGTAAAATTAAGAAATAATTTGAAGCCTCATAACTCGATAAATGCTTGAGGGAAAAATATTTTATTATAGTGTTTTGGAAAGCTTTCGAGGTCAGCTATAAGAATGTACAATCAAAAATAGGGGTTTCCATTTAAAAAAAACACTTTGACCTTCAAATAACCTTGAAGGTCAAGCTCAAGGTCAAACTCAAGGTCACGAGATAAAAGCTCGGAGTAAGCCCTACAACTTTTGTTGGAAAAGTTTCTTTGTCCGACCCTTACTTTTCGAGTTATTCCTCCGTACCGGGACTTTTTGAACACCCTGTATATATATATATATATATATATATATATATATATATATATATATGTCCAGGGGCAGTTTCCATGACACTTTGTTAAATAAAGGAGTAGTTTTGGCTACATTTGGCAGTTTCAACGACCGTCGTCAAAGCTATTACGGTATTAAGACAGTTATGACGACAGTTGTGAAATCTACCTATATATTACTGAAATATTGGAAATATAATTTCGCTTATATAATTGTACATATATCTAATGTTATATTATTTCGTATACTATTATTTTTGTTATTATATAACAGAATGTATTTTTTGGTGATTAATATAGAGAGATTTATTGTTAGTAACAATATATTTATTACTTTGTCGCCAAAACTACCAATCTGTGAAAATCATTGTGATATAAAGATTGTTATGACGATAGTCACAAAATCTATCTTTATGTGGCGATAGATTTACATAAGGAATTTATAGTCGGAATCGTTCCACCTTTACCATTTGCGATTATTAATAATAATCTAATATTAGTAATAATTAATAAGAAATAAAAGAAAATCGATCATTCGCGCGAGTACAAGCGCATGACAAAAAGTAGAGAACTTTCTACTCGGTTTAATCCGCTCTGACATGATGGATATGTATCAAGAGACATGGTAGTAGTGTTTCGCGCTAAGTTCACGCGCAGCACTTCGTGTTATCTATATGCGAGTCGGCATACATCCTTTAGAAGAATGGCTGTGATTAGTTGTTGACATTTAGTAAACTACTCTGAATAGTCGATCAAATCTGACCATTCGAAAACGTCATTAGATTATTGGACCTCAATAACGGCTGGATCGAAGTCTACTAGGCTTAATCGATAGCTTGGGTTATTATATAATATACCATACCAGTTATTATATAATAATAATCCAATAATTATATAATAAAAATGTCTTTAGTTTTTTCTATATGTATGAATGGAGGAAATATGACGCAAAATCAAAATATGGAAACTTTTAAGATCATCACCGTGGTCATCATCGCTACACGCATATTGCATGTATACATATATGCATAGATATATATTAGTATTGCGCTTAAGTACATACATATATGTACACATATGCAATAATGTTAGTTTATACATCTTGTATATACGGTTGACTCGTTTAACGGAGGATTGTAGCACTCTGCGACATGTGTAAGGGCCATTCCACAATACGTTGCAAATGTCCCGTTACCAGTCGCCAAACCATCGTGATCCGATCAGCATCGAACTAACTTGACGCTAATTGGCTCGCAATGGTTTGGCAACAGGCAACGGGACATTTGCAACGTATTCTGGAATGCCCCTTAGAGTAGATTTCCACTTTACACTCATTTTAGGTCATTATACATAAAAAAGTTTTAGTTGTAACCATTAAACTCTATACATACTGGAACGAGTGCCACAATAGTACGGTGCGCGCCGAGAGAGATAGCAAATTTTGTAGGCTTTTATACTTTTCGAGGCGTACTACGCATAATTAATACTACAAGTATAATATCAGCAAAAATTTATCCTCGAGAAATCAGTGAGATGTACATTATTTGCTGGAATCGGTTGAAATAACTTTTCCTTCGGACTGTACAAAAACAAGGATAGATAGCTGTATTGGCCCTCTTTCTCGGCGCGCACCGTTGCCATTGTGGCATTCCAGTTAGCGAATTACAGAACCGTATAGAAGCGATTATGTGAAGCGCTCGCCGGGGTCAGCTAATTGCTACACGCGATGAATATAATAATCAGTGTGTGTATGTGCGTGCGTGCGGGCGTGCGTGCGGGCGTGCGGGCGTGCGGGCGTGCGGGCGTGCGTGCGGGCGTGCGTGCGGGCGTGCGGGCGTGCGGGCGTGCGGGCGTGCGGGCGTGCGTGCGTGCGGGCGTGCGGGCGTGCGGGCGTGCGGGTGTGCGGGCGTGCGTGCGGGCGTGCGTGCGTGCGTGCGTGCGTGCGTGCGTGCGTGCGTGCGTGCGTGCGTGAGAAAGAGAGAGAAAATGTCCACGCGTATACACACATGCATGCTCTCTCTCTCTCTCTCTCTCTCTCTCTCTCACATATACACACACACACGCACACACTGATTACTACACTCATCGCGTGTAGCAATCAGCTGATCCCGAAGAGCGCCCCATATAATCGTCTGTATCGGACGCGGTGAGTTGCGCCGTCCCTGCTTAAATCTCGTATTCGTTCCGTAATTCGCTATTTTCTTTTATAATTTAAAAACTGTTTCAGACAAAATTTTGATAAAGAAAAAAATCGCCTTAGAATTGACTCAAGAATTCGACATTTTAAAGACAAACGTTTGTTTAGAATTACCCTGTATATAGAATTCAATGAAGTATGTATATACTGCCTGAAAAGTAAAGCAAACATTAGAGTGCAGACATATCATTTTCTCTCTCTTAACTTGGAAACATTAAACGATTTGCGCATGTGCATAACTACTGCGCAATCGCACAACGAATGTTTCTAGGATGAGTAAAGATGGAAATATATTTTCTTACTCGCTTACTTTCTTGGCTTCACTCTCCGCTTATTATGAGGATAGAAAATCAGCAGTATATATTTTATAACTATATGAAGCAAAACAAGTTGTCTACCAGCTCTGATTGGTCAATTTCAACCGCAATCGAGTCCGCAACTGTTTTCTGCTTTACTGCCAAGGTGTAAATGCGCCCTTAGATTTCTCTCTGATACTGTAGCATTTGTGTTAATATTATTGCATTTGTCGTTAATATTATTACTCTTGTCGTTAATATTATTGCATTTATCGTTTTAACGTCTTTATTTTAATTTATTGCCATTATTGCATTAATAATTATTACTTTTTTATAAGAAAAAATGTCTTATTACGGTTCAAGGTTAAATTTCTAAATATCTTACAATTATAGAAATCTTTTTGATTAATTATCTCACAGTGAAAAATGCTTTCTTTTTCAGAAAACTATTAAAATTACGCCCAAAAAAATATAAAATAAGTAATGTAAAGATTTTATAAGTTTTTATATATTCAATAGAGGTGCACACTTTCCAAAATGTTTGTTATAGAACGAAGAAACTTGATCTTTGAAAGTAATATGAAACGGAGGTCATGTATATATTATTATATTATTATGCTTATTTTCAAAATATTGTAGCATTAATTATCTTTTGTTTCTATTATGCTTATTCGTATGTAAATTTGTAATGTAATAATAATCTAGTCTTTATGTAATATAATAATAGTCTTTAATGTGCATACGTGTGCAATAGTGTATCATAATGTGCATACGTGTGCAATAGTGTACCAATAAAATTTATAAATTAAAAAATTAATTAAATAATAAGTAAAACATTAATAATAAAAAGTTATATAAATTAAAAGCATTATTTAATTAAAATGCACGATTGCTTAAGTGTTTGATGCTTTTGTTCCAAAAATAAGAAAAAATAAACAATATATTGCATATATCTTTTATATTGTACTTAATTATGAAGGAAATTATGAGTTAAAAAATATGTATTTCATTACACATACGCATATATATCACAACCGGAGTAACCGCTCTTAAGGTCTTTGCACATAACAAATTTTTAATCGTAACCATAAGACTGATCATAAGAAAACTGATTAATCACAGTTGATTATTCTCTTATCACAGGGAGAATACTCGACTATGATTTGTCAGTTTTCTTATGACTTTACGGTTACGACTAAAATTTTTGTACTTGCAAAGGCCTTTAGGTTTCTCTTTGATACCAATCTTTCTCTACTAAACGGAATCATATTACGTATTGCGCCTGCGTATAAAGTCCCGCTCGTTGCATACCGTCGTTCGAACAAGTTACAAAAAGTATTATAACTACTATCGTTATGTCGTCTTATTTGTTCGTTGTCGTTTATTTTCTTATTGTCGTTAATCGTTTGCTATTGTTGTCTAATAAGATAAATACATAGATTATTAATATTAAAATTGGTGTTGCTCTGATAATCAAAATGTATAATCTAATCTGTGCTGATAAATATTATAGTGTCTATACTAAAAGACAGATGAAAAAAGAAAAGATTAAAAAATCATGCATTATCGCAACTTATAGCAAGTATGATAAAAATTAAATCCATAACTATATTATCATAAAATCTATTTATTAATTCACTTTTTTTTGTAATAAAAGTGCAAAATACTATATTTTCGAATACGTAATTATGTATTTTAAATCCTTTTTGTCTGTTATTTTAGAAAGCAAATTCAAATTGCAACAGATTGCAGACAATTTAAATAAGAAAATTCCAAAAGTAAACTTAACAATTATAGCAACATCAGATATTATGATATACAGGGTGATCCAAAAGAAACGGCCAAATAACTGTGGAGGAATGCACTTTGGAGAAAAAAGTTTGAGACAAAAGTTGTAGGATTTTTCCCAGGCAATCCGATGGTGACCTTAGATTTGACCTTGGATAGTCATTTGAAGGTCACATAAAGATTACCTGCAATTTCTTAAATGGAACCCCCTATTTTTCATTACATATTCTTGTAGCTTATCTCGAGAGCTTTCCAAAACACTATAATTAAGTACCTTTTTATTAAGTACTTTTTGAGTTATAAGGCTTGAAATAATTTCTTAATTTTACATAAACCATAAAATATCTAGTAAACCATTCATTTTCAATTATCTTACCTTCATACTTTTATGTACAAAATAATAAGAGGAATCAATTGGTGTAAAGAAAACACATAGTTGTTTCTAAGAAAAAATATGTAATTTAATGTTAATTTGCAATTAACAATTCCATATTTTTTCTTAAAAACAACTGTATGTTTTCTTTACACCAATTGATTCCTTTCATTATTTTGTACATAAAAGTATGAAGGTAAGATAATCGGAAAATGAATGGTTTACTAGATATTTTATGGTTTATGTAAAATTAAGAAATTATTTCAAGCCTTATAACTCAAAAAGTACTTAATAAAAAGGTACTTAATTATAGTGTTTTGGAAAGCTCTCGAGATAAGCTACAAGAATATGCAATGAAAAATAGGGGGTTCCATTTAAGAAATTGAAGGTAATCTTTATGTGACCTTCAAATGACTATCCAAGGTCAAATCTAAGGTCACCGTCGGATTGCCCGGGAAAAATCCTACAACTTTTGTCTCAAACTTTTTTCTCCAAAGTGCATTCCTCCACAGTTGTTTGGCCGTTTCCATACTTTTGGATCACCCTGTATATGTATTAAATTAATGTATAAAAGTATATAAGAATTCCTTTCTACTAAACGTAATTATGTTCATATAAGATGTTTTAAAGTGTTATAACGCTTGCCTATAAAAATTCTTTAATTTATTTTGATAAATTTTATATTGCAGGTTCTCCACCAACTGCCAATTCCAATGCTACGTTAAATGTCGATACATCAAATGTGATATTTGAAATCGAGGAAGGCACTTGCGTCCATCAAGCTATAATTGTGATATTGTACAGTACAATATAAAGTCTGATGCTAATTTGACGAATAGTGAGAATACAAATGACAAAGATAATATTAAAGATTCTGCGTATGTTACTGAATATGCTCTTTGTAACGATGAGAATCTTAATGCATTAATTGTTAATAATAACAACATGATGAGCGGTAAGTGATACATATAATTAATCATATTATAACATTAAACAATAAACATTCCGTATGCAAGTTTTTTACATACTTTGCATGATAATATGTTTACACACAGCTTTTGCAATATATATTATTCTTGATAAAAATATCTTTATTTTATTTTTATGAATTTTATTTATTATTTGACAGAAGCTTTATTAGTTGATGTGATTGATGATGATTTATTATTTGACATTTTATTATTTCACAGATTCTTTACCAACTACCAAATCCAATGCTATAGAAAATGTTTCGACAATATTAAATGAGCTGTCTGATATAGAACAAAGTGTTCAATATTGTAGTGAATTTAACTCTACTTTTAAAATATATAAAAATGCAAATGTTACTAAGAAATTTAGAAATCCTAAAAAAACTCCAAAGATCTTAGAAATACAAAATGTAAATATATTAGTAAAAAAGACAATGCTTCCAGTACACGAAGAGAAAATTGAAAATATTACGTACGACAAGCAGTTGAATAATACGTATAGTATTACTGATAACAATAATGCTTCTTCAAATGCAAACAACACTCATGTTATCGATATTTCAAATAATACATTCACTCCAGCTGCGGAATCTACACTCATAGAGAATCAGTTAAATTTAAAGTGTGAAATCAATGATGATAATATTGAATCTGATACATCTATCACATCTAAGAATTTCGAAGATTCGAGTTTTCATTTGTCAGATTGCTCTATGCTTGAAAACACAGATCAAGATGATGAAGGTGAAAATAAAATTGAAAGTACAATTGATACAAGTAAAAATAAAACTGTAAACAGTACATTAAATTTAACACCATCATGCTCATTTAAAGTATGTGATGACAGAAATATGTATATAGAAACTTCTGACAATCCTAAATTGAAACGAAATATGTGTCCATATTGTAAAAAGCTTCAAACGCAATTTGCAAGGCACTTAGAATTAGTACATAAAACTGAAGAAGATGTGAAAAAGTTTTGTTTTTTACCTAAAGATAAGTATGTTATATACAAAGTTGCAACAATATTTAGAATATTCTAAATGTTATATGAAATTGAAGGTCTTAGTGGAAATATCGAAGAAAATTATTTATCATAGCTTTTTAAATTTTAATATTTTATATTATTAAAATTATGTTGTAGGCAATCCAGAACGAAAAAAGATTATTGATCTACTTAGACGAAAAAGAAATTTCACATATAATACAAATTTTAACTTACATAATACAAATTTTAACTTAAATAAAGGAGATTTAATTGTATGTCGGCGTCCAAGAAAAAATTTGAATAGACAAGCAGCCGATTTTATTCCTTGTGCAAAATGTAAAGGTTTTTTTTCTACAAATAATATAAGGCATCATTTTGCGTTATGTGCACAAAAAAAAGATGCTCAGAGAAATGTAAAAATATTAGGACGTACTGTGGCTTGTCGCATACATTACAGTGCAAATACATCATTAAGAAGATTGGTATTTCCGGTGATGAGAGAAGACAGTGTAACTCAAATTATTAGATATGATGAACTGCTGGTTTGTTATGGTAATAAAATGTGTCTGAAATATCGTCTCCAACATCAGCACGATATGATCAGAGCACGACTGAGATTATTTGGACGATTTCTTATTGTTTTGAGGGATCTTGATAACAGTATAGTAGATTTCTCTTCAATATATTAGGTGTACAACTTTGCTTCCGCCGTTTTTTTTCCGAAATTTGAGGCTTTATTGTAAAAAACTAGTTATACATTTATGATTCAAAGTATTGTCCATCGCTGGCCACTACTTTCTCCCATCTTTCGGGCAGCGTATGAACCCTGCGTCGAAAAAACTGATCATATTTTGAGGCGATCCACGAATCGATCCAATTTTTTACTTCTTCATAAGACTGGAAGTGCTGGTCAGCCAGGCCGTGTGCCATTGATCGAAACAAGTGATAGTCAGAGGAAGCAACGTCTGGACAATACAGCGGGTGGGGTAGGACTTCCCATTTCGACGTTTTCAAGTATATCTTGACCACTTTCGTAACATGGGGTCGAGCATTGTCATGCTGCAAAATCACTTTATCGTGTCTCTCGTTGTATTGCGGCCGTTTGTCTTTCAATGCTCGGCTCAAACGCATCAATTGCGTTCGATACCGATCACCTATGATTGTTTCAGTCGGTTTTAACAACTTAATACAATCTTCCTTCTTCCACCGCTATGCCGGTCTTCGACGTCAAAATCACTGTTCTTGAAGTGTTGAAACCACTCACGACACGTTCTTTCACTAATAGAAGCCTCACCATAAGTATCTGAGAGCATTCGATGAGCCTCAGCCGCAGATTTCTTCATATTGAAGCAGAAAATTAAAACCTCCCGCAAATGACGAGAATTTGGCTCGTACACAGACATTTTCAATTGAGAATAACTTTATGATGGAGACACAAATCGACTAATGTTTCTATGGGGTTATGTTGACAGATGTCCAAGTATATTGTATGACATCTATGATCTATTTATTTCGACCACCACCTACCGCTAAAGCGATCTACAAAAAAACGGCGGAAGCAAAGTTGTACACCTAATATAATCCAACAAAATATGAACAATGTATCAAAGCTGTCAATAAACTCGCACAATTTGATGAGAAGACTTGGACATATCCAACACCATCCATTGCATCTTTGGGAACACTTATAAAACAAGTTGGAAAAATTTTAAGAAGTATGTGCATTAAAAAACAAGATTTTAACAAACAAATTGTAGTAGAAAATTTTTTGAAGTTATTTGAAGAGGATTATCCTGTCACCGTAAACAAAATTGTATTTGAAACTCAAGGGCATCGAAAAAGGCAAAAAAATATTGTCTTGCCATCTATAAATGATATTAAGATATTTAATGCTTATCTCAAAACTGAACGCTCAAAGGCTTTAGAATTTTTACAAACAAACGGTTTCTCAATTCAAGCATGGCGTATGCTAGCTGAAACAACATTAATATCGATTATGATATTTAATAGAAGACGTGCTGGTGAATTGGAGCGTGTTTTAATTGAAAATTTGGAAAATTGTGCGGCAATTTCAAAAGAAGAAGCATCTGAATTATATAAATCTTTATCCAAATATGTAAGAATGACAATACGCGGTAAATTAGGAAGAACAGTTCCTGTGTTACTTCACGAAGAAATATTAAAATGTATGCAAATGATTGTTAATTACCGTAAACATGCTGGTGTTCCTGAAAATAATCCTTATATTTTTGGTATATATACATCTGACAAACGAAGATACAAATATTTGAGAGCATGTGTATTAATTCGAAAATATTCTACAATTTCTGGAGCGAAAATGCCTACTTCATTACGAGGTACAATATTACGAAAACATATTGCTACAGTATGCATTTCATTAGATATATCTGAACATGAAGTGAATGATCTGGCTGATTTCATGGGCCATCACGAAAAGAAACATAAATCACATTATAGACAATCAATTATAACAAAAGATTTAGCTATATCACGTTTACTTAAATACGCACAAGGAGAAGATGCAACAGATGAAAGCGATAATGTTGATGAGGATGAGAATGAAAATGAGGATGATCCGATTAGTAATTCGGATAGTAATTCAGATTTAATTTTAAATACTTCTGATACTTCATTATTAACAAAAAGAAGACAATATAGACAGATAGTTAAAGGAAAAAATATCAATGATCATAATAATACAGAGAAAAGAAAAGGTACGCTTAAATAATTTTTAAATCAAATAGTATATATGTATTGCTTTTTAACAGTCTCACAATGAATATATAAGGTGACTTTAAATAAATATTGTTTAAAATAATTACTAAATAGCAGATATTATAATATAAGAAAAAGATATATTATTGTTTTCTTTGTATATTGCAATTATGCAAAAAAAAATATTTTTCAATTTTCTAAGATTACTTTGCGTTTTTTCTTAAATAGTCATATTTTTTTAAATTCTTTCTATCATTTAGTTCATAGATTACTTCAACCAACATTCATCTAGAGACATATTCTATGTAAATATAAATATAAATTTTGTTATTATTTCAGTAAATCGTTTAACTTCTAAGGAAAATTAATCATAATATTGAAAATATGACTGAATCAGATGATGAATGTAATACAGAATTAGATTTAAATCTTTTATCATCCAAAAAGAAAAAGCAATCTAAACAGGTGTCTAGAGGAGAAAATCACATAAATAATAATACACAGAAAAAGAAAAAGAAAAGTAAGTTTAATAATTTTACAATAAGTTATATATAAATAATTTTTAAATTTATATATATATATATATATATATATATATATTGTTTTTGTTAAATAACATTTCATAATAAATATATAAATTAAAATAATTTTATTATTATTTTCTCTCTTTGGTCCTACATGAAAAAGTACTCATAAAATCAGATGGGCGGATGATGAACGCACAACAGTTTTATCTTCATTTCAAACTGCTATAAAAAATTGCCATCTTTGCATGAAATTAACGAAGTAAAAATCAAATATCCTGTATTGAAGGGTCGTACAAGTGCTCAGATAAAAACTTGGTTACATAACCAAATAAAAACAAATACATAAAATTATGGTTAAAATGTTTTTATGTTTTTTATGTTTTTTATTTTATTTTTATTTTATTTTGCTTTAAATTTTCTTATATATCATAATATATCTTGCTATATACAATCCAAAAACGTATATAATATTAATAACAATAGAATACACACAACTTTTGTTAAAGCAAATAAAATCAAAATTTGCCTTTTATTAATAGTATTAAGTATTAAATATTTAGTATTAAGATAAGTTAGAATATAATCTAAAAACAAAAATTCATAATATTAAATAAGGAAATAGAAAGTACAATATATTTGAGAAAAATCAAGTTTGTAATCGCAAATAAAATACTTATATAATTTTTTAAATAATAAAATAGTGTTCTCAGTAAAATTAAAAATGTCTTACTACTTATTAATCTCTCAAAATTTTACTTCACATTTTACTTTACATTTTACTTGAATTTATATCTATTGACTGAAAAAGAATATAATATTATTATGTAAACATATACTTTGATAACAAAGGATTTGTTTTGCAAGTTAGTCCATATCTAAAGAAGTGAATGTTGATTTTTCCATAACATTTAATAAGATTCTAATAGAGCGCAGACAATGTTGATAACCCTCAAAAAAATCTCATGGTTTTTGTAAATGGATTTCTTTATTTCAGATAACAGCTAGACATCTCCTTTTTCCAAAAAATGCAACTGATACAGAAAATTTTCTTTTTCGGAAAACTACATAATTATGTAGTTTCTTTCAGCTGCTTTACATCAATGCAAAATAGACATAAAATAACGTTATTAGAGTTAGAGAGAGAGAGAGAGAGAGAGAGAGAGAGAGAGAGAGAGAGAGAGAGAGAGAGAGAGAGAGAGAAGTAGATATATCCATAGATGTATAATATATACTAGATATATACTAGATATATAATATATAGATCTCGCATTTGGCTAGAAAGTTGTACAGACTAGAAAGAGACAATATGCTTTCGTGGTATTAATCTTTCTTTGTTTATCACGCATCGTTAGACAAAGAAAAACCTACCACGAACACAAGCTTTCTCTTTCTAAAATTTCACATTGTCAAAACAAAGGAGAGATAGGGAACGCGAGGTTTATGTATAATACGTCTATGGATATATCCCAGCAAACATGATGACGTCTAAAAATGTCTTAAGGCCATTCCAAAATACGTTGCAAATGTCCCGTTGCCAGTTGCCAAACCATCGCTATCCAATTAGCGTCAAGTTATTTCGATGCTGATTGGATCACGATAGCTTGGCAATTGGCATTTACTGGTAAACGGGACATTTACAACGTATTCTGGAATGGCCCTTAATGACGTATTAATGATGTATTATATATCATTAAAACGTTACTAAGACGTTTGCTGGGACGCAATTTTGGAATATTAGGGTCATCGTACACGAAATTGCATAGCTGCATATGCATAGCATAAGACCGTATGAATCAATGAACATCGAGTATTAAGTCGCCATATTGACTTACATAACATAATATTCGATACTCATTGGTCCATACAGTCTTATGTTAAGACCCTTGCACAATGTTAGGCAATAGGAACAGAAATATACTTA